CAGTGGCGTGCCCGCCCCGCCCCGCCCCGCCCCGCCCCGGCCGCGGCCCATTCACCAAGGCGTCTTGCTTGTTGTCGTGTTTGCCGTTGAGACGGACGGAAGTCCGCCGGTTCCGGTCGGGATGGTCTGGTCGGCACGGCTGCGATGGCCCGGCCGGCGCGGCCTCAGCGCGGCCCGCCCTGCGTGGGAACACGCCGGGACCTACACTGCAGTCTGCAGTGTAGTGGTGGTGGCGGCGCGTCCTGCGCGTCCTGCGTCCCTACCTGGAGACGGCGTGCCAAGTACGTGGTCCTGGAGGTGGGCGGAAACGGCCCGACGCGCTCACACACACACACACACACACACACGCGCGCGCACACACACACACACACACACACACACACACACACACACGCGCGGTCACCCACGCCTGCACTGGACCCACACACACGGCGAGGACATACCTTTATATTCGGATGGAATTTGCATTCGTGAAATGGGACCGGATGTCGCGGGAGAGCGGTGCTGGATGCTGGATTCTGTCGCGCCGCCGCTGTGGTGGATCTGCGCGGAGCGATGCCAAACGGAGTCTGTCTCTCTCGCACCCGCACGGAAGCGCGCAACGCCCCGAGAGCGCGAGAGAGACAGGCTGCTGGCGGCACACTGCACACACACGGAGCGAGTGGGACGCCATCAAGTGTGGAGCGGCGCTCTGAGTGGAGCTCTATTGACTAGACGGAGAGTTCGATCCAGAGGAAGAGAGGGGGGGGGGGCGTGCATAATGTACGTAATACTTTGCCACCACGTGTGTGGAAGTGGAGGGGCCGCTGGGAGGCGCCGGTGGTGCAGCGCCCAAATGGCGTGGGCTTCATGACACGACGCTGCAGTGGGCTAGAAGACCGGTGGAGGCGGGCAAAACTCTGGACGCGTTTTGAGCTCCAGAGTCGCTAAACAGGCCCGAACGCCGCCCCCCCGTGTGTCGAATGCATCAAAGCCGAACTCGCGCTCACGGGCTCGGGTTGCCACCGTGCAGACTACACGCACTCCGGCGGTGTAGAGTTGCCGCCCGGCCGGTCATTTCAGTTTCAGCTGGCGGGAAAAAAGCCCGGAGCCGCAGCGAGCCCTCGGGCAATGCGCGAACGGGACACCTCGCCGCGGTGCTGACCTCACACCGAGTTGGGCCTTACTGGCTTCGCTTGCTTCGCTGGCTTGCGCCGTTCGTCAAGTTGCTGCGGTCGCCGCCCGGCCGCCTCAAAGTTTGTTCGACGCTTCGGTGCAGGAGGCGAAGGAAGGGGCGGGTCGCGAACATTGCGGGCACCTCGCCGGGTACCGTGGCAGCATTTTGTGTCTGTTTAATTAGTGAGTACCGAAGATCGGCAACTTCCGCCCCCGGATAAGTGGCGGGGTCCAATACTTTGGCAACTCCCCGCGGCGCGGCGGGGCGCGGCGTGGCGCTGCTACCCTAGCGACTGCCTGCAGGCTGATGCCGAGAGTCGTTTCCCTGTCTCTCTCGCACCCATGAGGCGTTCCGTACAGGTGCGAGAGAGACAGAGCGACGACGACGACTCTCGGCATCAGCCTGCTGCTCCGCTCCGCTCCAGCCGCCGGAAAATGCTCGCCTGAGAGGAAAGCGCGTTTGGCGCGGTTAAAATTAGCGCGCGGGTAATGATGATGAATTTCCCGCCAATTCCCCCTCCCTTGCCGCCCGGCGAGCGTGGCCGAGCAGGCGGCGTGGCGCTGCACAGTGGGCCAGAAGACCGGCGGAGGCGGCCAAAACTCCAGGCGCGTTTTGGGCTCCAGAGTCGCTAAATGGGACTCGAACCGAACGTGTGACCCCACCAATGGATTCCTCGTTCGGAGAGCAATCCATTGGTGGGGTCACACGCTCCGTTCGAGTCCCATTCAGCGACTCAGGAGCTCGAGCGTCTAGAGTTTTGACCGCCCGCGCCGATCTTCTGGCCCACTGTGCGCTGGCGGGGTACTTGTACGCGTGACGTCAAAAGTGGCAGTTTCTTTTTTTAAACGGTGCGCGCCGTCCGCGTGGCGGCGTGGCGGCGTGTAGGCTTGGGGCCGGTCTGTCACCGGAAGTGGCCCTGGACGGGGGCAGCGGCGGCGGCGGTGGGGGCGGCGGCAGGTGGCGGCGGCCCAATGAATGGCCGTCCGCTGTGTGCCTCGCAGTGTGCCGCCGTGCCGCTGTGTGGGTGAGCGGCGGCGTGGGCGTTGGCGTGGCCGCCGCTCGCGCCTAGCCGCGCCGCCGAGCCGCCGAGCCGCCGAGCCGCGCCTCACGCCATTTCCGCCGAAAGTGATCTGAAGGAGAACAGCGCGGGGCGGCCCAGCCCGCCCAGCCCGTCCGGTGCATGGCATGTCGAGCCGTCGGACGGCGATGTCATTTCCTCTCCCAGTTTCTAGTAGGCAACCCGGCCAGACTGCGATTCCAAGAGTCGCTCTGTCCCTCTCGCGCCTGCACGGGACGCCCCACGAGTGCGAGAGAGACAGAGCGACGAACTCTCGGAATCAGCCTGCCGGCCCGCAGGAAGTGCCTGTCCGCTGAGGCGGCGGGTCCCGCGCGTTGGTAGCAGCGCCGTTGCCGTCCGCGCGTCCGCGCCCCGGTCGTGTCCCCCGTGGCCGGCTGGGCCGGCCGGCGTGGACGTGCGCGGCCAGGACCTAATGAACGGAATTAGCCCGGCGTTATTGACGCTGCGTGCGGCGTCCCGGCGTCCCGGCGTCCCCGGACAGTGGGGCAGCGCCCGGACGGCCGCCGTCGCGCTGTCTCTCTCTCTCTCTCTCTCTCTCTCTCTCTCTCTCTCTCTCTCTCTCTCTCTCTCTCTCTCTCTCTCTCTCTCTCTCTCTCTCTCTCTCGCACCCACGGGCCCGGTCCTGCAGATGTGACAGAGACCGCCCGGCCCGTTTAGGCGGATGAATCATGAGGGATCATGGGAAAACGGGAACCGCACGGGATGTTTGGCAGTGTGGGTCGCGTGCGCGTGCATGTGTGTGTGGCACAGTGTGTGTGTGCGTCGTGACCGCACTGGCCCGGCGCGCATTATGACGTAGGCGCGAACATGAGTCATGAGTCGCAAGTCGTGACGGATAAAAACGCGAACGCACGCGATGCAGGACGCGTGTGCTATTTCTGTTTTTTGCCGGTTTCATTGAAACGCGGCGCCGTGGTGTGCGGAGCGCGCAACGCCGGGCGATGGGCCGTCGAGTGTGAAGGCCGCGGCAGGCGCGCATCCGTGGACGCCGTGGACGGGGCCCCCCTAGAGCCTCTCCTAGCCGCGCCATGCAGGGTTGGGCCGGCTGGTCGTCCTGGCGCTAGTCCTGGCCTCTATCGGCCCTAGCCACACTCGCCCTTCCTCCCTGCTTCGGCACGCCTTCGTCACGCCTTCGGCCGTTTCCGCCGCGCCCCGAAGTCGCCCCGATGTGGCCCCGAAGTGGCGCCGTGACTCACGGCCGGGCTATTCCTCCCCCTGCCTCCCCCGCTTCCTTCCGGCCCAGCGGGGCGCATCGCGGGGCATCGCGGGGCCGCTGGGCCGCGGGCGGGACCCACCCGCGACCCCGGCGATTGAATGGGGCGCCGCGCCGCCCCGATCCGTCCCGCTCACCGCGCAGCGTGGCCAGACATCGCGACCTGCTTGTCTGCCCCCACGCGCGCGCGCGTGTGTGTGTGTGTGTGCGTGTGATTGTGAGCGTGCACGCCGCTAAGCCCCTCATTAAAGTTGCCGTGCACCCCTTCCCGCGGGTGGCGCCCCGTTGTCCCCGTCGCGGCCCTGGGCGGCTCGTCCACCGGGACCGCCCGCCCCGCCCCGCCCCGCCCTGCCCGTCTGGTGGCCCGGTCGTAAAACGGCCATTCGGTGGCATTCCCCTGCCGGGCGCGCGTTGGCGGGCTGGCGGCGTGAACAGGGAACGGGGCGCATCGGTGTCCCTGGCGCGTGGGGTACTTCCGCGCGGTGGCCGCGGCCGTCGTCGCGGAGTATCGACGGGGTCAACCTCGTGCTGCCATATGCCGCGCCGCCGCGCCGCCGCGCCCAGCAGCCGGAGCAGTGGGTACACCGGGGATCGCAACTAGTTTGCAAACTGGCCAAGTTAATGCTGGGCGATTCCGCACAGCATCGCTGTCTCTCTCGCAGCTCCCCCGGACGGCCGATGGGTGCGAGAGAGACAACGCCCTGCTGGAAGCAGCCTCCTGGTGCTGTAATTGGCCACCCGGGCCGCCCGACCTTTCAAAGGTACCCGTCAAAGTTGACGGCGTGGAGGTGGCGGAGCCTGCCGCCGCCTCCGCGCCGCGTGTAGCTCGCAAGCGCCGCGGCCCGGGCGGCTCGTGGCTGCTGGACCAGGACGGGCTCGGCCCGGGCCCCAGGCCCCAGGCCCTCCCCGTGGATGCCGTCCCCCCGTGACCCAGTTCCCCGGTTCGCCCCCTTCGGCCTGAGGGTGGTGGCGGCCTGGCCGCGGGCCTGGCCATGCACGTGTCGGCGTCGGCGGGGGTGAGGTCACCTACTTTCGAGTCCCGTCGGGGGCGGCGGGGGGCGGCGGGGCGGTGCGGGGCGGTGCGGGGGGGCGTGGCGGAGTTCGATTCATCCGCCTGGCCCATTCACCAGCAAGACGCGGCCGGCGGGCGCGTCGGGTCGCGGGGGGTGGCATGCGGCATGGCCGGGCAGGGCGGGCAGGGCGCGTCGCGGTGGCTTCATTCTAAACAACGGGCTGCTCGCCCTGCTCCACTCGGCCCGACGCCGGTCTCTCTCGCACCCCCTCGAGTTCGACAGAGACAGAGCCTCGAAATAACGACTCTTCGCAAACTCCAGAGCGCCACATTGATCTTGTAATTCCCGCCGTAAAAGCGGATCGCTTCGCTTTGCCCCACACCTGTGGCTCCCCTCGCGGCGGCTAAGGCCCCGCTGGCCCCGCCAAGCAGCCGCAGGCCTCTGTTTTTGTCGTTCCTGCCGTTGACCGCCTTTGTTGTTGTTGTTCCTCACGGCCTTTGATTTCGTCGTTCCTCACCGCCTTTGTTTTTGTTGTTCCAGGCGGCTTCCAGTCGTTCCGCTCGTGCTACCCGGAGTGGTGCGAGTCCTGCACCGAGCTGCTGTCCGGCCACCCGGGCCTGGTGTCCACCGAGACCGTGCCGCTCATGGGGCTGCGCTCGCTCAGGATATCCACCTCGTCGGCGGCCACCCTCGCGCAGCGCCACCGGAACCACCTGGGTAAGGACCAGCAGCCTCATTCCGAGAGTCTGTCTCTCTCGCCTACAGGTCTGGAGCGGCCGGGAAATGTAATTTTCGCTTTGGTTTCTGATGCCGCCTCTTGTGCTCCAGGTTCGTCCTGCGGCAGCTCGGCCGCCACCAGCTCCACGGACTCGTCGTCGGACTCGGAGGACAGGTGCGACTCGTCGCTGGGCCTGGAGGACGACCGCGACTTCCTGGTGGAGATCCTCCCGCACCTGTTCCTGGGCAACGCCGCCAACTCGGAGGACTCGGAGGCGCTTAGTAGAAATCACATACAGGTGCGAGGAATTGGCTTTTCAAAGTTTTCGTCTCATTTTTTTCCTCTCTCTTTGGCGTGCCAGTCGCGCACAGTGGGCCAGAAGACCGGCGCAGACGGCCAAAACTCTAGACGCGTTTAGAGCTCCAGAGTCACGAAATGGGGCTCGAACCGAACGTGTGACCTCACCAATGGATTCTTCGTTCGGAGAGCAATCCATTGGTGGGGTCACACGTTCGGTTCGAGTCTCATTTGGCGACTCTGGAGCTCAAAACGCGTCTGGAGTTTAGTCTGCCTCCACCGGTCTTCTGGCCCACTGTGGCGCGCCAGAGGCAAGCGCAGGACGTGTTTCTAATCGTCTCGCTCTTTTCGTTGCAGTACATTTTGAACGTGACGCCAGACCTGCCCAACGTGTTTGAGGAGTCCGGCTCGATACGGTATATGCAGATTCCGATAGCAGACCACTGGAGCCAGAACCTAGCCAAGTTCTTCCCCAAAGCCATAGAATTCATCGGTGAGTTTGCGTTCGAGCGCAGTGCTGTTGGTTTTTGCCAGCGAAATGCCAAGAGGGCAGGTGGTGTTATTGTGCCGGCGGGGAACCTTCGCGGCGCAGTGGAGCAGTCAACAGTCTACCAATCAAACGGCTGCGCAAAAATTCGATATCCGCCCAGCTTGGGGAGAGGAAAGGAAGTCCCCGGGACGAAATGATTTTCGTTCCCGACGGCGTCATTGTTTTTGTCTCGTTTTGTGTTTGTTTCTTGCGTGCCTCGATCCGGCGCCCTGGGCAGCGGGCCGCCTGATTGGCTGATGGAACGGAAACGGAAGGGAGCGGAAGCGTTCCTCAAATTGGGTCGCCAGGGGTCGCATCGCACCGGTGGACCGGGACCCGGGCAACGAGGGGCAACGGGTTGGACGGCGGATTGGTACGCCAGGGCAGCCCAGGGCAGCCGGGCGCGCTGCCTCTACACGTGGAGGAACTTGCAGACATTCCCAGTGCAGAAAGGTCTGCCGTTCTCAGAGAAATGTGTTTGAATCTCTCTACGTGGCGGTTTTTGCTGACTTAGAGCGACCTCTGCGTCCGATCCACCTGGGGTACAGGCCCCCGTCAACGTCCTGGCATTCTTAAGACCCTACTATTTTATGCCTCGCCTCGGGAACTTTTTAGCCACAGCTATATAGTTTGGAAGCACCAGTCTCGCAAAGTTGGTCAAGAAGTGGTTGAATCTATGAAAGTAGCGCATTTTGATGACTTTGAGCGTCCACTGCGTCCATCCAGCTGTGGCCAACGGCCTGTCTCAACGCCCGGAGGGATGAAGCTACCTTTTGCGGCCCGCTGCGCCTTGGGGGCGAGAACTTGGGCCCGGCTTGGGCGCGAGTGTCGAAGGAGAAGTAGGCCAGGTCGCAGGCGGGTGGACGCCTTGAACTGAGGCCAGGGCAGGGCGCTTGGGCACGCCGAGCAAGCCAGCAGCAGCCAGCAGGCCTGCATGCGACGGGGCATGGATCGGGTTGGGCAAGGACGGGTGCGGGGGCGTGCGCTTGTAAAGCGCTTGTAAGTGTCGGGGGAGGGGGAGGGGGTGGGTGGGGGCGGCGCGGGAATCGATGAGAAACTAAATGTGAATGGAGCGCTGCGCGGCCCTGCGCGGCGCTGCGTGGGAGGCGGGCCTTGCCGCCCCTGAGCCGCCCCTACGCCCCCGCAAGGAGCGAGGCCTTCGCCACCCCCACCCCCAGCCCGCCCCCGGGCCCGGCCGCCCACGCCGCGACCCCCAGCCCTTTCCACGCCGCCCACGCCGCCCACGCCAAGCAAAGCGTGTGGGTGGACGAACTGCGGCTCCATCTCCAAGCCGCCCTTGAAGTGGTGACAGCACGACAGCAGCCTGCCCCCGCCCTGCTTGTCTGGACGGCCATTGTGACAAGGGCCTCGGACTCTTGAGGGAGCACGGCGACGGGGGGAAGGATTAGAAATCACTGGGTCGCCGCATCCCTTCTGGACCTCTGGATTCGCTGCCCTGGCTTGGGTTCAAAGCCCCTCGCCCTTATCCACACTGCCCCCGGCCCCTCGGCTGTCCTGGCCCTTTCCCCCGCGCGCGCTTGTTCGCGTTCGCCTCCGTGACCCTCCCAGTGCCCCGGCTGCCCCCGGCACCTGGTGCGCCTGGCGACCGCGGTGCCCAAGCGCACCAGGGCGCCTCACCCCGCCCGGGAATCAATACTTCGTCTTGAGTGTCTGCACTCATGACGGCAGGCGAAATGCTCGGCAGATGCTGTCAGCAGGCCGTCTCTCTCGCACCCACGGGGCGTGCACCAGCGGTGCGAGAGAGACGGAGCGACGAGGCGCGCCGTTGGGGATCTGGCCCGGGCCTCGTTATCTTTGCATGCCATTTGCTCTGCGAGTTTGGCAGCAAATATCCGGTTTGTGGGGCTCGGGAGGCCGTGTGTATGTGTGTGTGTGTGTGTTCGCTTCCGCCAGCCTCTTGCTCGGGCTGAGAGTGCGACGAGAGGGTGGACGGGCTGCCTACCCTGCACCCTGCAGGGGACCGCTGCGCTGCCCGCTGCGCTGCCCGCTGCGCTGCCCGCTGGCGCTGCTGGTGCTGCGCCCTGGCGGCGTGAATGGAACGCACGGCAGCCTGAATGGGCTGCTATCTGCGCGGATTCATTCATTCGCTCTTTCAGTCATTCATTCATCCGCGCGGCCGTGTGTCCTGTGCACTCGATCCGTTAAATGACGTACTGTACCACGCGCCGCCGTGCCCCACCCCGCCGATTCATTAGCACTTTTCTTTGGCCTGGCGAGCGAGCGCGGCGAGCGGAGCGGCCTTTCATTCCCGCCCCCGGCCCGCCCCCGGCCCGCCCCCGGCCCGCCCCCGGCCCGCCCCCGCCCCCGGCCCGCCCCCGGCCGCCCCTCCGCGCGCAGTCGCGTTGACATTCCCGTGTCATTGCCACTGCCAAAGATGATCCTCCTGGGATTCCCCTTCAAGCATTCAGCCAATAACAAAAATAACAACTTAAAAAAAAAATCTTCGAAATTTTTTTAAAAGGAGGACGGAGTTTTACTTGCAACCTCGTGCGCGTGAAGTGCAAAGTATCGCGGGGGCGATCTGTCTCTGTCTTTGTCTTTTGCCAGCGGCGCCTCCGCTGTGGCGCTGCCGCCTGCCACGCCCCGCACGCAGGTGCCAATCTTTTATCCAAAACAAAGACCGCCCCGCCCGGCGGAGTCGCGCGGTTGACAGGTGAATACCAAGTGGCGGGGCTGCGGGGCACTCCTTGGCGCCTCCAAGCGGATCCTGGTTCCGTCCTGGGGGACGGGCTGCCAATCGGAAATTACCGCAAACCTCGTCGCTCAACTTAAACTCAAAAAAAAAAAAAAAAAAAAAAAAACACATTTTATTTTTTCAAAATGTTGGTAGCTTCGCTGGAAATTTGGGAGTCTTAATTTCATTCCTCTATGTGATGAGAGCTGGCTGATGTTCTATTAGTGGTCACACTCGGGCGGCCTGACGTCAGCCTGGTCATCCCTTCGCCTTGACCTTTCCCACTCTGCACTGTATTCTGTATTCATAGCGCGGTCGGTATTTTAATCCGCGCCGTGGACACTGCACCGCCTGGGCGGCTACCTATCTGCCCCGCGCTGCCCCGCCCTGCCCGGCCACCCTCCCCGCACTTGTATATCAAAACGCGTGGGCGGCGCTCTCACTCTCCGTCCTTCCTCCACTTGCTTTAGGTGGTGGTAATCCGACCGAGGGGCTGGTACCCCTACCCCTCCCCCCCCCCTCTCCCCTCCTGCAGGTCCCTTGCTATTGATCGTCCGCCCACGCAAGGGCCTGAGCATGAATGAACCCCCCCTCCCCCCTGTGCACCACCTACAACTCCCTTTTGCTTCGCCCTCCCACGCACCACGAGGGCTACTGCTTTGCGAAGCGAAGCTTGCGAAGGGCTGTGGGGCCCTCGTCCCCCCGCCCCTCCACTGCAACCTTCGTCCTTGCCGTTGCCCGCCCCCGGCCGCGCCCTGCAGGCGGACGCGCTCCATCTCTCTCGCACCGCCGCGCAGCGCCACGTGGGCGCGAGAGAGACAGTTCGGAATGGCTCTGCAGGGCGCCGTCGTCAAGATTGGTTAGAGCGCAGCCTCGGCCCCGGCCTCGGCCTCGACGCGGTGCTTGAACCGCGAGTCGCTTTCCCATCCCGCAAACCGTTTCGCCCTGCCAAGTTTTCGGCCACGTTCCCGCGTGCTTCTGACAGGTTTCTAATGTCCTGCCTCTCGGCGCCGTTTGTTGCAGACGAGGCCCGGTCCAACCAGAAGGGCGTGCTGGTGCACTGCTTGGCGGGCGTCAGCCGCTCCGTCACCATCACCGTCGCCTACCTCATGTACAAGATGTCGCTCAGCCTGAACGACGCCTTCAACCTGGTGCGGTCGCGCAAGTCCAACATCGCGCCCAACTTCCACTTCATGGAGCAGCTGTACAACTTCGAGCGCGAGCTGCAGTCGCAGCCGGGCTGGGGCCACAGCCGCGGCGACTCGGTGGAGTCCGTCAGCGACCCCATCGGCATGGCGTCCCCGGCGGACAGCCTGGCCACGCCCGACTCGTCCGGCTCCGGTAAGCCTTCGCCCCTCGCTTCGCCCTTTAGCGACGACTCGGACGATGCGCCCTAGCGTGGGCGTTGGGCCACGGAGCCCGGCCGGAGCGAGCGTCCGGGACTGCCTAGCCAGCGTCCTCAAGGATGTGTTGCCTCTGCCGCAGGTCTCGCCCAGAGAAGACTCCCGGAGCCGAACGCGGAGGCGGACCTGGACGAGGAGGGCGTTGGCGTTGGCGGCCGGCACGCGCGGTCGCGCCTCCACCGCGCCCCGGGCGTGGGCCTGGCGCAGTCCACCAGGCCGTGCGGGCCGTGCCCCTGCCCGCACTGCGGCAGCGCCACCAGCGCGGGCAGCGCCAGCGGGGCCTCCAGCGCCAGCTCCTCCACGGAGTGCAAGTGTGCGCCCGGCTCCACGCCACTGTCCCAGTTCCTGAGCCCGCTGGGCATCGGCCAGAGCCCCGACTCGGGCATCGAGTTCGACAGGTGGACGGCCAGCAGCGCCAGCAGCACCACGCCGGGCTCCGCGCCCACGGGCTCGGGCTCGGGGCCGGGGCCCGGGACTGATTGAGAGGGACAGGGGGGGACTCGCTGGCAATTCTAGACGGGCCCGTGCGCGGGGCGGCGTGGGCAGCACCACGGCGTGCCACGGCACCACGCTCGCTTGACGTTTCAAAGAAGGAAAGGAGAGGCCGTGCCGTCGGCGGGATTCGAACCCGGGACCGCCCTGCCATGTGCGCGCATGGCTGCCTCGAGTTCAAATCTCTCTCTCGGTCGAGGTCGTCTTCCTCTGGGCAACTCGCGCTGTTCTCTGCGTTGGTCGGTGTTGGTGCTGGGAAATCATAAGGGAAATTCGCGTTCGTTTCGTGATTTTGTATCGACGGGCTGAATTTGTTGTCAATGTAGGGGAAGTTTCTCATTTTTCCATCTGAACGGCACCAAGTGACAAAGTGCCTCTCATCTGACTGATAAAGTACGACTGCAATCAGTACCTTTTTGTATGGATTTCCCTCGTGCATCTCCTTGCAGCACTCCGACTCTAATTGGGAACTCGTTTACAAGAGCCAGCCTCCTCCCCTGCTTAGCGACACGTTATGTGTGGCGTATAAGTTGTTATTGTGATGTTAATAGGTATTGTTTTCAATTTGATTTCTTAATAACTCCTGTCATCAGATAAGATTTTTGGTTGTCATCTGTAAAGGATTGTGTAAGAAATTAATATGCAGGATGGATTGGAATCCTAGCACCAATCATCATGTATTAGGCATTACACAAAATATCCTTCTAAGCTGCGTGACTTTGTATGTTATTGCTGTCATTTCTTTAGATTTGCTTTCTTTGAAAGCTTACTCAATTATTCTTTGAGATTTCTTACACAGCACTACCGAGTGCACTCTGTTTAAGCAGCCAGAAATATTTTATCTTTGATGATTAGAGTTTCCTCCTACCCTTGTCTACAGTAGAGACTTTTCAGATTAAGCAAAGTATTACTCATAGCAACATAAAGCATATCTATTTCTCACGGGGCAGGTGTTTCATCTTGTCTCACCATGTTGACCAGTTACAATTTGTTTTCTCTTTAACACTACTAAGTTGTATTAATCCTCTTTACATGAACTTAGTGTACATTCATATCTTAAATTATAAATGGCCAACTTTTAGCTAGTCTGCATATATAATTGTTGTTAGATGAGTGTCTATGCTGTATGGTCAATTTGTTGTGTTCAACTCCTGGGAGTTTTTCAACTTTCGGAGTTTTCCAAGATTAACTTCTGGCAAGTTTGTGGAGAGAGAGAAGGCAAGCAAATTTTCTTCCATTCAATTTTATTTTACATGTAAATTAACTCTAACTCTGGAGTTGGATACCTTCAGATGTTACTTGTAGTAACTTTTTACCTTCATTTGGTTTTTCATAAATTAAAGAGTTCTTTGATTTTTCTCCTGTGCTGTGATATTTTTGTTATGCATTTCATGACTTCTCCACAGGAGTGACAGTTTGTTGAGTGAGAATCAACTGAAAGCTTTAGTTTTATATCTGTAGTTACATTGTTTTGTTTCTTATTGTGTCAGTAAGCAATACTTCTTAACTGTTGCTTTCTGGAAGCCTTATGGGGCATTTCTGCTCAGTGCCATGTGAGTAAGTGTGACAAATTTTTACCTTTTCCTGTTTGTGTAAGTGAATCAAAAATGTTTTAGCTGTTACAGGCAGTTTTGAATGTATGTATGTTATACTATTTTGCAGCCCAGATCTAAAGGGTTTGCGTCTTCATCTTTCTTCTCGATATCTTTCATGTTGTTATTTTTTGTGTGTTCAAGTTTGTCTATACATGAACACTAGATTGCACAAAATTTATTGAAACATAGTGGTTACCTTAAAAAGTATTCTCATATTTTCTATTGTATCTTGTAAGCTTTGCATACTTAATTTATTTCAAGGAGACAAGAAAGATCTAATTTTATTGTTAAATATAGCAATTAAATATTCCTTTTGACATATTGTGGACGTATTGTGTGACATCTCGTTCTGAAATTTATCACTGATCTTGTATAGTGGTTCACTTTCTACATGTAAATGATATTGCTATATATATATAAATATATATTCAGGTTTTATAGAGTATTATGAATATGTATCTCAAAGTATTACTTGTGCAATCACTACTCCTGTAACAGTGCTGATAATATTTTTGTTTCAATTTCCGTGATAAATATTTAAAAGTGTAGGCGCACAATTTAAAATTGAAGTGTTTTAGTTACCATACTTCAAGTATGGCTATCCTGTGATTTTCCACTACTATGCATTTACTTTGTAACACAAACAATGCTTTTGGATCTACACTGCCACTCAGTTGAACATAATGCCTGTATAGTATCAACCCTAAAGTTATTACTAGCTAACATTCCAAGATGGATTAAAAGTTTTCATTGAAAAAATTCAAATTGTGCTTGCTTGGGGCATGACATTGTATTGTTTACCCTCTCTAAAATTGGTCCATAAAGCTGTTGCTTCAGTTTGTTAGCTTTAGCATATTTTATAATGTTTAAACGAATCCTTTGCTGATGCCATGTTTTGATGAATTTATGATGTATACAGATTGTTTGACACATTTACTCTTTGTGTTTGTGGCCTCACGTGTTATTGTGGAGCCATTGGATCCCTGAGGACTGTCTCTGCGTGCCATAAAATCATTTACCTACAGTATGCCTTCATCTTTAACTCATGTTATGGTTTTGTAATTAAATGAAACTAATTTCCCTCCATAATCGCTTAATTATTAATTGCATTCATTTTCCACATCCTATCACAGTTATCTTATATGTTCAAAATAAATTTCTTTTCCAGAAACAAGAAAAAGGATGTTATTATATTTCATTCCCCTTCACAGATTCATTGACTACAAATTTATACCTAAGTGCTTACACTTTCGTTGAAAATTTTGAAGCTTTCCTTCAACATCAGCTTTTCTTGCTGGTTCGCGCAGGATGGAAGCTGCCTCATCGAGTATTGTCTTTACTTTCTTGACTGAATCCTGTACAGACATAATACAGACATAATGACTTTCAAATTGTACAGAATTGTAGCTTTGCAATTTATTCTGCATTTTATTTCACCTGAGCTTCCTCAAAAGTAATAATTTTATCCTTCAAGTTTCTCTTTATCTGCTCCATTAAGGTTTCTTGTAAGTCCATTAGTAAAAACGCTCGAGTACGAGAGTACCCAGGATGAAGAATCTTCGCAATTTCCAGCATTTCTTGACAAAGTTGTAGCTTGTAATGTAACAAGTCTTCGCTGAGCTCTGCAAATTATAATGATCATATGAATACTCTTGTTGTGTGACACAGTTTTTCCTGATGTCATGATAAATACCTTTAAGGAAGTAGCCTGAAGAGTGCCCTAAAATATTGAAAATTAATGAAATTTTTATCTGAAGAATGTAGGTAGATGTTGGATGGAGGAGACCTCCTGGTCCAAGGTGTTTGTCTAAAAAGTCCTTGTAATCTGAAAATTTAGTACTGTCATCCAAATTTGTTTTAGCTGTTCTCAACTCCTTATGGAGACGTAACATGTCTGCTGCCGATACTCTTTGGCCACATTCTGAATTCTGACAGCGCCATTCAGCTGTCAATTTAGTTGGACTTGTCGACTCTAGAAGACTTTTTTTACCAGCAGCTGTAAAAGTAAGAACAAAATTCGAATGCCACATCGTATTTGAAGTTAGCCGTCACATGTCCATTAAAGAAAATACCTCTGCATTCGGTACACCTCAAAGAATCCAGGTACAATCCTAAATCAGTTGGGTCACTACAACGCATACAACAACAATCAAAATACTTTGTGGTTTTTAGATGTGTCAGGCGTTTTAATGTGCCGTTCAAGCGGTCCATGTACGTAATATTTATGCTGGCTCCTCGAGGGATACACTCTTCTGCCATTAAAGCCATCTCAAATTCCTCCCCCACATGGCAGAGGCGGGCATTTGGTTTACAGGAGTGAGCCATCATTGATCCCATGTAGTACAGTGCCCTTCCCTGAAAATTTTATTTTAAAGATAAGAATATTGCTAACCTTCAGTAATCTCAAAAACTTAAAAAATCAGACTCACCATTTGGTTTAGATCTGGCCGAGAAACTTCAAATGCATTGGTATCAAATATAGCAAGAACAGTCGCAACATCTTCCTCTTTAAAATCACGTAATTTAAGTGTATTAAAAATAAAACTAGTCACAGATCGGACTTTAAAATTAAATTCTGGGTTCCTGCGATGTTCTTGTATATGAGTTTGAAGAGCCATCATCTTCTTATATTCCTTGGGGGGCAATAACAGGGCTCTAATTGGAACTATGGATCCATACCATGACCATTGATTTATTTCCTCCAAACCTCCAAGAATAGTAACTTTGCCACAGTCTTGAAAAAAATATTGAAAAATCGTTTGAGATGTGTAGCAGAAAAAGAAAGACATTAGGTACAGCAGTTTTACTTACCTTTACCCATAAAAAAATTGACCTTCCCCATTGCTGTACATTCTGGCCTGTGTTGCTGCGATTCCTGACATTTGACAGAACACAGTGGCCAACCACATTTGGTGCACTCGTACCAGTCATCTGGTTCTCCTTCTAGGCGCCGGCAGCATCCCAAGCAAACAGGCTCTGAGCTCATCTGCCATACAAGAAACGAAATTACCATCCCACTCGAAAAACCAAGACCCCACACTTGTTTGTTTACCTGTGGACCATGAACAAGAGGTTTCGATTTCATAATAAATGCTCCAGCTTGTATGTCCTGTGTCGCTTCGAGGTACCTGCCCAGGACGGGATCCTTTGAGATCTTGTACGTCGCACAGGTGTCTTTGTGGCCGCTCTGCCAGTGGGCCAGCTGGTGGTCCTTGCCGCAGTAGTAGACGGCGTAGCAGCCGGCGCAGGCCCTGGCCGGCGCCCCGCACACGGCACACGGGCCATCCTCGGACCCTGCGGACAACGTCGGCCAAGTCAGCGACGCGACCCGGGGATGCTCTCGGCGCTGTCAATAAACCAGCAACCAGCACCGCCAATACGTCTGATCCGCTCTCCCCGACGTGGACTCGGACGGGCTGAGGCCAATTATAGCCCCGCTGGTGGTGTCGCGGCGTGTCGCGGGCGCGCGTGCAAGGGACAGGGAACTCCGTCTGCCTCGCCGCCTCGCCACGGGGAGGGGCGTGTTGCCACTCGCACTGTCCTCCGTCCTCGGATGTGCACTCACCGAAGGGGTCCATGCTGCCTCCAAGGTGTGGCGGGGCAGCCACTCCACTGAAGCCGCGACGACGCGGACACTAAGCCCTCGCGTCTCGCAGCTCGCATCCCCGTGTCGCGTCGCGTCGCCGGGCCGGGCCGGGCCGTGGCGCCGCGCCAGAGGGGGAATTACTCGAAATAGACGCTAGACGCACAAACACACTGCCAAAAGCCACTGGCCAAAAATGTGTCATTTTCAAAAAAAAAAAAATAATAATAATTGAACGAAGAAAACGGGGACGTTGTTTCTCCTTGTGCTGCCTTAATATTTTCCTTTTTGCAATTTCGAAAAGAAAACAACTATACTGAGCATGCTGTGCCATTAGTTTCCGTTCGAGTGGTCAGGATAATTATTCACTTCCCGTCGAACCAGGCGCAGTACCGTCAGTACAGTCCGACTAGTCCATCTGAGCGCGAATTTAGGCGGACCCGCGGTGTCTGTCCGTCCGGAGCTTTTGAATTACCCTCTCCCAAGAGTCAAGCACCACGCAAGTCAACCTAGCGTCCTCTTCAAGTTATGAAAATAATCTCGTCGCTATGTATATCCTTTTTGCACCGAACGTAAAACACGAAAACTACCAGTTTATGACTTAACATTACTTTTGCCCTTTGGTAAGCCTGAAGCTTCCCATTTTGACGACGAGTTCAATATGTCAAATCATTGACGCAGTGGGACGATTGCCCCGAGAGTCTGCTCGTTGTTGTTGCAGTGGAAGCAGCAGTAGGGTGTGGATTCCTATTACTCATACCCCGCAGGGAGGCGTTAAATTGGACATTTCACCTCAATCTCAGTCATCCGCTGGATGAAGCTTTGATTTAGTGGCAGACTAACTAATTTAGAAACATGTTGGCACTAGTAAATAGAATCTTGGACTGGTTCAAGAGTTTGTTTTGGAAAGAAGAAATGGAACTGACACTTGTCGGTTTACAATGTTCGGGTAAAACAACGTTCGTTAATGTTATTGCGGTAGGTGTTTTGGTGGCAAATATTGTTTTATGAAATTTTCCGTCGTCAAAGACATTTTTGTACCGCCCTTTGCATTTTCACCGTCTGTTCTGAAACTTATCTCGCCATCTGTTTTTGGCCTAACCTCCAAATGTCAAAATGAAACTGCCGATTTTGCAAAATGATCCCAGTTTTTGTCCTAAAAGCATTTATCACCTTAGAATGTCCTTGAGCTTATCTTTTCTCTCCCTTTGCGATTAACCAGGAACTGCCTTGAAGTACAAGTACATCTCTGTGTACAAATTGTCAATACTTCTTGAAACATTCAACCTTTGTTTGCCTTGCCTTATCATAGAAAATCGTCTTTACTTTCGGTAGTTGTGTCTACATTTTCAAGACAGGCTATGTTATGCAATGTGCAGACAAATACGTCTCTTGAGACCAATGTTTCCGCTCTTACTGCTCTCTCATCATTGTTCTTGTATTTGTTTCAGTCGGGGCAGTTTAACCAAGATATGATTCCAACTGTTGGCTTTAATATGCGAAAAATAACTAAGGGCAATGTCACCATCAAAGTTTGGGACATAGGAGGTCAACCTCGTTTCCGATCGATGTGGGAGCGTTATTGCCGAGGAGTAAACGCTATAGTGTAAGTGCCTCACTTGTTTCTGCTTGCTTGATTACATTTAATTGTTTTTATGCTGTGTTCTTTTGTTCATAATTGTCCTTTCTTCCACAGATATATGGTTGATGCTGCTGATCCTGATAAAATTGAGGCCTCAAGAAATGAGCTTCATAATTTATTGGACAAACCCCAGCTCATGGGTATACCTGTTTTAGTGTTGGGAAACAAGCGAGATCTTCCAACATGTTTGGATGAGAAAGAGCTTATTGACCGAATGTGAGTTGGAAACTGACATATTTGTCCACCAATTATTCTAGTAATAATGCTGTCTCTAAATACTGGGTTTCCTTAATTCTTTGTTTCAGGAATCTATGTGCAATTCAAGACCGAGAAATATGCTGTTACTCCATTTCGTGTAAAGAGAAAGATAACATTGACATCACACTCCAGTGGCTCATTGCCCACTCAAAATCTGGGGGACATTAGGCAACAAATGTGAAACTTGTCGATTGAATATGATAAGTGTGTAAAAACTTGAGCTGATCCCGGCCCCTGGCCACTTTGCACAGCTGTTACAACATTAAGTTGCATGGCATTTAGTTTTTCACACATCTTAAGTATTACAAGACTGTTAGATAGTTGAATGTATTTGTTATCAACGTCTCCTCCAATGACTAAATGTAAGTGCATTCAAAGATTGTTTCTATTGCTTAGTATTAAGTTTCCCTTTTAAGTTGCATTTTATGAATTTTCATTATCTTTGGAAGTTCTCTGTGGTTATTTGATTTTTGTGTACTTTCTTATATCTTTAGAAAATATATTATGTGATTTTATAAATTCATTAACTGTTTAAATTTGGTGGTATAAGCCATTTTGCAAGTTCTCTTGTCTATGCATTGGTGTAACTTGAGAGGGATCAGCTTTAGTTTTCATGTATGTACTGTATATCATGACTCATTTTAATTTTCATTTGGTTGTTACACTAAACTGTCTGGCGTTCTCAATGTGGAAAAAATATTTTAGAGTTCTAGCTGTGGAGAACTTAAATAATGCCTTCTCTTGCATTAGAGTTTCAAATTTCTGTGTGAGATTTATAGCAGGCAAGACATTTTAGTGATCATTGACTAAATTTTAAATTTTCTATCAGCACGCACTTGTTGAGTGTACAGGGATAATTTAGTATAGTTGAAGAATCAGAAAATTGTTGTAATAAATATTCACCTCAGGTAGTATTGTGTATGTTTGCTGTAGAAGTGATGTGTAAACCAAGGAGCTGTTATTTGTTTCTAATGTTCTCTATATCAATGCAAAATTCTTGCCTTTTATCTTGCAACGTTATATTTTTGCTACAGTAACATATTGTAACCAAAATTAGGATAGCACAGGAAAGACTAAACTGCTTTTAGTAATTCTTGTGAACATTGAGACGAAGAACAGCTGTACTGTTGGGATGTGCTAAAGTGCAATGCTTTCATTCCACAAGCCCATTCAGGCTGCTGGCGTGCTATGGTGATAGATTTCTTACAGCTGGGTCCAAGTAGAGAAACATTATGGACTATCCACTAGATTGGTAATATGAAGCTTCCATCTGTTTCACGTGTTGTAGGTGATGGAAGTTCCATAACTGCCTTATTTGGAACCAATAGTTCAGCGGATGTTAAGGTGTTTGGTTTTGCATCCTTTTTTTTTTCCTTTTTAACAGAAAAAAAAAATGCTATCCATCTTTGAAGTTATTTCTTTTAAATTTTATTATAGTAGTTAATTCTTAGTTAATCTTATCTCTTTGGGTTGTCAATGATGACTTCTTTCGAGCTCTGTAAGCAATACGAATGAACTATATGGATTTGTGTTGCCATGTGAGGAGACAATTTTGCATTGCAAATTCAATGGCTTGTACGTGTAGAATGTCATTGTTTTATTTATTTATGGTTTTGATTTGACATTGTGATAGCATAACAGAAAGTCTGTGTGCAATTTAGTGATGATTTCATAGCAAACTGCTCTCTGGCGATTGCCCTGTCTAGCTGGGCATTCAAAATTTTTGTGTAATTCAGTGATCATAATTTGTTTTGATTGTTTACACTTTCAACAAAAAAAAACTGTCTTTAGTAAAAAAAATTATAATATCAAAATTGTAATCTCTTGAAGTTTGCTGGTGTTATTGTTGACTTGTCACTGGTTTCCTTTATAGGTAGCTGTAAAATGTTGAGCTTGCTGATATATTAATAGCTTATGTAAAATATATTATACCCTAGTACATCAAGCAAACACTGCTCCTGAATTTTACATAACTTCCAAGATGTTTGGTTTTTATGAAACTGGTAACAGACACACCACTGTACTTTTTAAAAACATGAACAGGTTTGCAAAGTTGTGTCTTTTCAGTAGTTTTACTATGTTGAAGGGAGTCTCATTAGGATTTTGAATCTGTTTTGTTGCAAGTTCGAGTATCACTGAATGGATTGTTACTTTGCCTAATCAAATTGAAGTGTTGATCACCTTTCTCTTCCATGTGATCTCTATCTATAACACATTAATAGAAATCTGTGAGGTTGAATCAGATTTCACTAAATTTTAAAACCTAATACACACGTCAGTTATCCTTGATATGTATAGAACTTTTATAGGTCTCGTGTGCAAGGTTGATGGATGCAGATTATACAAATATGTTATGTATATATAGAATGAAATGTCATAAATCAGTTGTATGAAATAATTGTTCTAGTCTATGCAGCAACCCCCTTTTCCTTCTAATGTCTTTTGGGAATAATACATTCTATTCATAGTGAGTAAATGGCATATATTTTATTCCCGCTGACTTCCTCATCCACATAAAAATTTAATGAAACAAATCAGAATACACTGCATGGTTGGGCAAGGCATAATAAGGTGAGAACAAGAACACAAACATGTCCTAAAAGTAAAGCTCGTTTCGCTACTGATACACCGCGCCGGGAAGGTAGACCACCCTTTCGGCACGTCGCAGGGAAGTCACGCAGAACAAGACACCAGAGAGAGGGCACTGTGAATCTGCCGGGACTGTGAGGCACGCCGCCCTAATCTGTCTAATCGCCGGGTGGCAGCACTGAATACTGATTTCCCGTCTCGCCTCGCCCATTTTCCGCTTGTTACCTCGTGCTGATGAGCAGGCTCCGCTGGCTCACATTTTTCTCCATTTTTCTTTGGGCGGCGAAAAGATGGGGTGGGGGCGCCGTCTCACGGAGCCTTTGACTGAATTGCTTGCTTTCGGCTCGCTGCTTGCTCCCGTCGGTGGCGACGGCGACACCGGCCACGCTCTCGAGAGTCGCTCTGTCTCTCTCGCACTCATGGGGTGTACCGGCGTACCGCACAGGTGCGAGAGAGACAGCGACGAGGCACTGCGCGGAATGAGTCTGCTGGCTATGCCTGGCTATGCCTGGCTATGCCCCGCGTGGAGTCGCTCTGTTATCGACCCTTGCAGGCATTGCAGGGGCCCTTCCCGCCGCGCAGCAGCCAGGCTGATTCCGAGGGTCGCTTTCATCGCTCTGTCTCTCTCGCACTCATGGGGCGTCCCGTATAGGTGCGAGGGAGACAGAGCGATGAGAACGACTCTCGGAATATCAGTCTGCTGGCGGCGCGGCAGGGGGAGGGTCTAATTAAAATAAAGCTCAACACACATCACAGGCACGGCGTTCGGCGTACCGGCCGGCGCCGCGGGGGTGGATGCGATGGGGAGGGGCGGGGGGGAGGGGGTAGCGCCGGCGCCCCTCGGCCGGACTACGCTGTTGGTTATTGAAGATCTCCCGTCCCGGTTGCTCCTCATGGCGGAATAATACGACGGGCGGACGGACGGACAGACGGACAGACAGACAGGCAGACAGACAGACCGGCGGAGGGCTGTGTGCATCGCAATCAGTCGCAATGGCGGCTCGGCGAGCGGGCGTGGTGAATACCCCTACACCCCAACACCCCCTAGGCCGCGGTGTCAGCGCCCCGGTCGCTGCCCCGGAGGCACAGACTAGGCAATTCATAAAAAAATTAAAACAAGAAAATAAAAATAAAAGGAACCGATTAGGGTTGAATGTTGCCAGGTTGCCTACCTGCTTTTCACAGGGGGCATTTCTCTCTCCAAAAAAAAAGAGAAGAAAAAAAGCCAGTAAAACCGTCGCAGCCCGACACAACGACCACCACACAGACAGACGCAGACTGAAAAAGAGAAATAATTACGGTTGATTTATAATTGCGAGTCGAGTCCCCCTCCTCCCCCTGGTCGCCGTGCTCATCCGATCCGCCTCTGTAAACTGGATGACGCGCATGTCAGTGCGACCCACACACAAGCGCCACGCACTCACACACTCACACACACACACACACACACACACACACACACACACACACACACACACGAGAAAATGACACGCCAGGCTACGGCGCTACGGCGGTGGGCTCGCCAACTCATCGCCACCGGACAGCGAAACTGGAACGGGTCATCGGCCTTGCCTTCCTAGGCCTTGCCCGGCGCCTTTCCTGTCTTCTGGAGCCTCTGCTGGAGTCCTGGAGCGTCCTGGAGCCGTGTGGGCGGGACATGCCGCCGAACGTTGATGGGCAGGGCAGCGCGGAGCTGCTATCCAATCTGTCCATCGCTCCCACCGTCAGGCAGGCCGTCGGGGCAAACCTTTTCGCGCGCTCGGGGCGAAGGATCTCGGTTCTTTCCTGGTTCCTGGTCCTGCTCGCGTGTTTGTTCACTTTTCATCCTGGCCGGCAGAGGGCGCGTGAAGCGGAGAGCCACCGCGGCCAATTAACGCAAATGGGCGTTGCTGTTGTTGATGTTGGCTGGGCCGCGGTTTCGTTGGCGGGAAGTTTTGAAGGGAAAAATAAAAAATGAGAACAGAGGTGTCGGTGAGCTTATAATTATCAGAAAGGGTAATTAAAGCTGTCCGCGTGTCCCGCCGCAGCCTGGCTTCGCTAGCTTCGCCCAGAAACGGGGCATCATTTTCGGTTCTCACGTTTTGGAAAAAACGGGCGCAGGGCGGGACTGCCGACGGGGCAGTTTCGTGACCGTGCACACACCTCGAGCGGCATTACCGTACCTTTGTACACGCTCGCCGGCCGCGCTGGAACGCAGCGGAACGCAGCGACACGGCGCGCGAATTGCCCCATTTGACTATTTACTTTTCGGAGCGAATTTAAAAGTGGCGGTTGGGGGCGTGCGAGCGTGCGTGTCCGGGCCGGCCGGGCTGCCGTCGAGCCGCACAGGTGTCGCCGTGCCCCTAAAAGCCCCGCCCTGCGACACTCATTATTTTTTTCCGCCCAAATAGACCGGGCGGCCGTCCGTGTTCTAAATGTCCAAATGGCGCAGCGAGCGGAACTGGGGGGGGGGGGGGCATGGAAATGGGGAAATGGGGGGCGTGGCCGGGTGGAAAAGGAAAAGCTGTCGCAGAGGCACGGCAAAACGCGGACGGGGGTCGATATTACTAATTATTGTGATTATTAATTTCGGGCCGCCGGGCTGCCTCCAGGCTGGCGCTGCTGGCCCGGCCCGGTCACGCGAACGATTCGTTTGCTTTACACAATGTCGGCGTATCGCCGTTTGATCTGCTGTCGATTAAAAAGTTGACAGTGGCAGGCGCGGTGAGGCGCGCGGCGGTGTGGGAAGCGGCGGGGTGACGTCCTGGACGACGACAACGACGTCCTTAGCGTCCGCGGCGGCGGCCTAATGGATCCCCGACACGGCACTCGGCGCTGCGCTCTATCTGGACAAAGATTGCCATTTCCGCGTCAACGGGGCGCGGCGGCGCGGCGGCACGGCGCCAGGGCCTCACGGTGTCGCCTTGCCGCGCCCTGCCGCGCCCTGCCGCCGAACGGAAGTGGTGCAGAACGCACTGGCGAGTTGAACGCCTCGGCCACCGGGCCGCGAGGGCCACCGCGAGGGCCACCGCACCGCAGGACAGTGGTCGGCCTGTCTGGGTCGCACCGTTGTGGCGGTCTCTGTGCCTCCGTGTTAGCACGCGGAGCGGTCCTTCAACCTTAAAAAAAAAACACTCAACAAAAAATTTTAAAATTAAAAAAAAAATAATTTGGTTGTGTTTTTTTGGAAGTAAGGTGAAACCATAAGTCGCCGCCTCGCCGTCCAGCGAGCTAGGAGAACAGGTGGGCTATATGCTTTTGGGCCTAAAACCAGCTCCGGAGAGACACGATTCTTGCTTCCCCGCTTCACGGCAGATGATTTATCCCTTTCGTTAGTTCGTTATTTAAAGCCGACCCCCCGGGTGGCACGCCAGTATCGCAGTCTGTTCCAGGCTGGACCGCGCCGCGCCGCCGCGCTGCTTCTGTTCATGTTCTCCAGGCTTGGCCGGTCCGGTCCTGGACAGCTACTGGCTCCAGGCGCTCCAGGCTGTGGGACATGACACTTGGCGTGCTTCTCAGCTTCGCAGTGTCGCGCGGCCGTTCCAGGCCTTCCAGGCTGCAGCCGCTCCAGCAGACTCCAGCGGCGCCACCATAAAAGCCGAATGGCGTTTGAATGGAGATAATCCATGGGGCGATTCCGACGCACCTGCTGGGCCTCCGGCGCGGAGAAGTGTCCCGGTGGTCTCTGCCTAAAACGCGCTGAATTCGGGATTTTTTTTTTCATCCCTTGCGGGGTAATGGGCCTCTGGAATTGCCCCCATAGCGCCGCCTGAACGGCCTGCCCCCCCGCCGGGCCGGCCGACGACGGCCCGTCCGCCATGTTCTGATTACCGAACTGGAAAACGCGGCAAAATCGACAAAAAAATAAATAATAATATCCGGACGCGTCATTTGGCGTTACAGCACCGCGCTGGGCGGTCGAGCCTAGCCGCGTCGCCAGCCGCCCCGTCCACCCCGCAGTCCCGGGGGAACTCCCTCGGCCCAAGAATTTGAAAGCCCCACGTCGGCGGCGAGGGTGGCGCTTGGAGCCGGCTCCGAAGTGCAGCCGCTCTGTCTCCCTCGCACCCCAACGGCATGCGGCGTGCCCGCCAGGCGTGCCGCGTGCGAGTGCGAGAGAGACAACGGCTGCGGTGACACCCCGACCGAATCCTCCCCGACAATCGCAGCCCATTCGTCGCCCCCCACCCTCCGCGACGTACTTTGCCTAATTGCGTAATTGCGGCGCGTACATCCTAAAAGCCGGCGACAAATTCTGCGTCCTTCATCCGCCGCTGCAAAATATGGCGACATTGAAAGCGGCGGAGTGCGAAGCCGCGAAGCGACGCGAAGCGCGAAAGAGGCGCCCGTCAAAAAAAGCAATTATTTTGGCCATCGGAGGCCGAATCCAATTCTCGTGGAACGGCCGGGCCGCCTCCTGGAATGGGGCCTCGAGGGGCGCGGAGGGCGAGCGGCGCTCTCGCTCGCACTCGTGGGGCGGCCCGCAGTCCGCAGGGGCGCGAGAGAGACGGCGCCACCAGAGGTTCGGAACGCGCCGGCCGACCGCGGGGCTGTCCATTTCGGCGGGGTTGGGATCGTCGACCGGGCCGAGCGGGCCGAGCGGGCCGAGCGGGCCTACCCCCAGCCACGGCCACGGGGTTGGAGTGAGTGGTGGCCGATGCGTGCCCGCCTCTACGCCGCCAACGCGTTGCGTCATATCGGCCGGCTGTCTCTCTCGCACCTACACGGGACGCCCCGTGAGTGCGAGGGAGACAGCGCGACGACTCTCGGAATCGGCCTGCAGTGACCGCAGCCCCGCAGCCAGTGACTCGCAGTGACTCGCAGCGCGGTCGTTTTCGTTTCATGCAGTTTCAAACCGGACTCTCTCGCATCCAGTCCGGCCGGCCCGACGGGTATGAGCAGCGAATTCCA